AAAAAAAAAAAAAAAAAAAAGGTCAGCCAATCCAAATTAAGTAGCGCAGAGCCGAACCAATCACAGCCGCAGCGTCACGTCGTGTGACTTGTTACGTACAGCACAAGTGCCAAGCCGCACGTGTGTTTGTTTGGGAAGCAGCCAGCGGGTAATGGAGGAAATGAGTGTGCCGACTAGAAAAATCAACCGAGCGTGACCGAAGAGAAAACAGATGATGGTTCCAACGCCGGAGAGATTGTCGAACGGAAGAGCCATAGAAGTTCCGTAGTGTGAAGGTATTTCGGCTATTTCAAGTCTGACAAAAAACAGAGTAGCGTGCACTGTAAATTGTGCCGAAAGCAAGTCTGGAAATACAATAAACTGGTGCATGCGTCACACTGTGCGCCACGTTATTGTTTCGGTGAAATGAATTTCTACAATACTGTTACTGTTAATTCTACTCTCTGCAGTGTTTAAATGCTTACATATACACACAGTTACTGTCTCTCCACACATACGACTCGGTTCTGCTTCTATGCCGCAGCTTTGTTTACTTTTTCCCACCGAGGCTTCTAGACTTCTGATTGGCCAACATTTCTGCACGGTTAGGAATCTAGCGCCACCTGCTGCTTTGGCATGTTCATAGCAGCGTTTTCCTTCATTTCTGCCTTTATGTGTGGACGGGATTATTTTTTAAAACGAAAACGGAAAATCTCCGTTTTCAAAAATACCCGTGTACGTTTACAAATACTTAAATACATGCATAAATGACAGCAAAGGTTGCTAATGTGTGCCATATGATTTATAAACGAAAGCTAAAATAATCCAAAACAACAAGGTGTAATGGCTCGATACATGCCTTATTATCCATGTTAAGAAATCCCAGAAAGTTAACTTTGTTCATAACACACACACACACACACACACACACACACACACACACACACACACCTTTATTGTGAGTTGATGCAAAACAACTAGAAATAAAATTAACATCTGATTAAAAACCAAATAAAACTGCTTTTTTGTCTGTGTGTTTGCATCTAAATCTGTGCTTTTAATTCAGCTTAGACCTGAACGTCACTGACGGACCGACCTGTCACTGTTACTCACCTGTCACAGTTTCTCTCCACAGACTGCTCTCAGCCATGACACAGGCGGTTCCTCCGATCCTCTCCATCACCCCGAGTCGGGCTTTGGTTGATGAGAAATTTCAAGTGTTGGTGGAGAATCTTCCTCCAGGATGTCCGGTAACCCTCCACTCCCTCCACCACTCTGAGGACAAGGACGACTGGGAGGCATATGGTCACTACGTCAGCGACCACAGAGGCGTCGTATCAGGTGGGTCACCACTGACTGCAGAAGACTTAGGATGCTGTCTCAGAGCTGGTCTTTGGAGGGTGAACAAGCTAAAAATGTTTGTGTTGGACAGTTTTTATTGGAATGTGAACTCGACTCCCTATGTGAGCAACTTCCTGTCCTGCTCATTGTGCTTAAAGAGATTCTCACTCTTTTTACCTCAGTAAGCTTTAAAACGCTTACCTGATGTTTTAGTTTGGGGTTTTGTCAGTTTGTGTTTCTTGGTTGATGCTGATGACTTCACTAAAACTGCTTTATTAGATTTTCTTTAATACAAAAAAGGCACTGTTGAATTTGGAGTGTGCTTTCTGAATTTATGTGTAACTCATTGTCTGTTTACATTAATGATCAATGTGGAGATAGGTGACTTAGATTCTTTGAATTGTCTGCTGTTTAAAGAACATGTCACAGTTCTGTCTCATTGTGACTCAGCATTTTGAGTTCTTATGTTTTGGTTTGATTTAGCATTACGGGTTGTATTCCTACTTCTTAGGTTTTGTTATTGTGCCCTCGTGTTTAGTGCAGGTTAGGTTCAGTGTCTAGTCTGCATCTTTGTAAATTGTTTCTTGTTCGCTGTTTTATTTTGAAGGTCCATGTCTTATGGCAATGCTACTCGTTTCGCTTCTTCTGTCTCGTTAGGTCTTATTTCTCCCGGCTGTGTTCCCACCTGTTTCTCATTCCCTCATGTTCTTGTCTGTGTATTTATAGTGTGTATTGTTACCTTAATACAGTTTTACCCGGTTCGTAGATTCCTCAGGCCTCCAGTAAGAACACCGGGGACTCAGTAGTCAATCTACAACACTTTTATTAATCCACACTCATTGATTACACTTATTGATTACACCTTCTAGAAGGGAGATGTACAGGACCCCGGAACTCCTCTGCAGATCTCAACCCCTTTGTCTGTTTCCCTCAGTTTTGTAGAAGTGACCCCATGATAAATTGCATACCCCATGGTATGCTGCAAACTCTGTGTCTGTGTGTATGCACAAGCCTGTGTGTGTGCGTACCCGTATGTCTATGTGAGTGCATGTGAGTGAGTGTATGCGCGTACTTGTGTGTATGTGTGAGTGCATGTGAGTGAGTGTATGCGCGTACTTGTGTGTATGTGTGAGTGCACGTGAGTGAGTGTGCGTGTGGATGTGTGTGCGTAACAGTTAAAACACTATGTGCGTATATTTCTATGTATGTGCCTTCTTGAGGGCCATAAAAGTCCATCTCCCTCCCAAACCAAAGATATTTAGTTACAGACTTTGAGACTCCCACCCAGGCATGGCCTAAGGAATTTCCACTCAACATTAACTCCTTTTTGTCTTAATCTCACAGTTCAAGTGGGGGAGGGTCTCCTAGAAATCTACTTCTAAGTTCATGACACAATCAGGCCTTTATTACATTGAGGGCAGTGTCAGTGTCTCTACAATAATTCTAGATTCTATGTTAACACATTTCTAAACTCTAAATCAGCTAAACATTCCTACAGTATCCTCCAGTGTTCAGCGTTGTGTCATCCCTCATTGCTGTGTTACGCTCCTGGTGTTTCCTCCTGAACTTCGATCTCCCAGTATAGTTTTGTTTTGTATGCTTTTCCCCTGCCAGCAAATAGAGCTGTGGGGGTTTTTTTGGTTTGTTTGTTCAAGTTACCGCGTCTGTGAGTAATGCATTTGGGTCCTTTCCTGCCTGCCTTCACACAGCAAATTCACCGTGACAGAACATCAAATACAGTCTTGTGCACCCTGGAAGATTCCTTCCCTGTCTGCCTTGATTTAGATAAAAACCACTGAAAACCGAACCACATCTGGACCTTAATAATCAATAAACTAACTTGTTACATTGCTTGATTTCAATTACTCAAAATATCATGCTCATGTATCATAATTAGGGAGTACTACTAAAATACTAAGTTGATTATTATTATTATTA